GCGAGGGAGCTTTGAGGCAGGAAAGCAGCGCGTGTCCCCCTGGTCGCGGGGAAAGGGGCGTTTGGTCTAACGTACCCTTCCAGCGCGCCACCACCCTATGGTATTTCCCTTAAAAAAAAAAACAACAACAACAACAACAACAAAAAAGGTAGCTGAGAACCTGAAAACGGGGTTAGAAACGGTTGATCTAGGCACCCCGGTTTGACACGGGTAGCGAAAAGGAAGCTGGCGCCCTGCAGAACTCGTAGCTGGAGCGCTGCGTAGATGAAGCAAGTTGCAAGGACGGACGGACGGACGCCCGCCGAGGGTGGCGCGGGTTTCGTTCAAGGCGCGTCCGAAGCCACGGGCCGAGGCTTTTAACCTACCTCGGAAACGCTCGCTCGCTTCTAAAACGCTCTCCTGATCCTGAGCAACCCCTCGGCTCTCCGCAAAAGCAGGGACCGCGGCTGGCAGAAGCGCAGCATCTCTCCTGAGCGCGCCGACAGCGGGAGCAGCAGCAGCAGCAGCAAACACAAAGGTGATGGGTTTCTTCGCAGGCACACGCACGTACGCGCAGCGCACCGCCTCTCTGCACTACCTGTCTCGTCTTGTCTTATCCGTTTCTGGTGAGCAGGCAGGGTACTGGAGCATACAGAAATCCTGCTTTTTGAAGCACCCTGGAAGCGGGCTCAGTACGTTTTTTCAATGCCTAGGTGGCCCAGAAGAGCTGATCAGCGAGCAAAAAACAAATAGGTGGTAGGTAGCAGACACAGGTATGGGCAAACCTTAGTTTCCTGCTTCGCCCTGACCTACGAGTACCAAGAAAACAGAAGGTGGGACTGAAACTGCCTCTTGCTTGTTCTTTGGTGCCAGATCGTAGCAGGACATAAGATACCTGAGGACTGTTTTTTGTTTGCAGTCTGCTGCAAGACAGAGGCATAATCATCTATTGGTGAGTCATGACCACGCTATCACATAGGGATGATGACACAAACTTGTGAGGGCAGAGTAATATAGCTTAAAAATGTCTCTCTCGCTCTCTCGCTCTCTCTCTCTCTCTTTTTTTTTTTTAATAAAAAGCAAAACATTGGGATGAGATCCTCAGTTGTTGCAAAGCAGCATAGCTCCATTGCTTTCGGCAAAGCTGGGCTGATTCATGCTTGCTGAGGATATGGTCTGTTTCGTTTGCAAAAAGTCATCCTGCCTGGCCGGACCCTTCCTTTCTCCAAACTTGAATTTAACGCTAGTAAAACGTCCTGGCCTATGTGAGGCCTCTGGAAGGCAGAGCCCTCTTATTCAAGCACAGGACATGCAATGCCGCTGTAACAGCAGTACAAATGCCACCACCGCAAACCGCTGGTAACTCCTCCTGTGGTGTCTCCGACTGGACCATCACCAAACTCTTCCAGCGGCCAGTGCGGTTCGTTGCCCTATGGCAAACGTCAAAGCAGGCAAAGAGAAACATGCAGCTCTCGAGGAAACCCTGCCGTGACACTAACTGTTGCAAGCCTTGCTTGACGGGAGGAAGGGAAGGCTGGTCGTAAATTGGGTCTGCTGACACTTAGAGCAATGAAGAGGAAATGGGGAGAATCTCAGGGGGTCCTGACTTCCACGGTAAAAGTGCCAAAACAGAACTTGCTGTGGGGTTAGAGAGCTGCTGAGGCTTGCTCTGTCATCCTGATGCCTGCAGGTTTTCCTGACTGTCATCAGCCTGCAAACCGGAGCCCATAACTCACGGCCGTGCTTAGCCCATCTAATGTCAGTAGGGCTTTTTGTAACAGTACTCCAAATCGAGTCCTGGGAAGGTATGTCGCCGAGTCTTGCAAGCGCTCTGACCCCCAAAAATAGTTGCTTAGCGTTGCTATTCCCCTTTAACCTCGGCAAGAAGGGAGTCATAGACAACAGGTGAGCTCAGCTTTCCACCGTGTGATGCACAAACTTGTGCCAAGAGCTCATTTAGCACTGGATCTTCCTATTCGGCTGTAGATCAAGGCTATCCCAAAAGTTTTTTAAAGGATAATCTTTTCTTAGAGTTATTTCTGGTAGAAACACCCTGGTGACAGCCAAGCTGAGCTATTTTGCCTATTCCGCCGTGCCGCCCCCCCCACCCCCCCCGTGAATATTTCTTCTTGCTGCCATCAATATCACCAGCAAAGTAAATAACAGTAATTTTTTAAATATACAAGGGGTTTGAATACATCCAGATTTTCCTCTCAAGCCTGCCATTTTGCACCAAGAGAAACACTGGTGTAATTAACTCAGATAAGCTGAATTTATGCCAGCGTAAATGAGACCAGTCACGGTGACATAAGGATGTACGTTCCTGGCCAGCCTTGGGCTGCCATCTGTCTCTTCTCCTGGCCAGCCCTTCAGCGCTGCTGCCTGTCCTCTGGGCCGGTTCCACACACAATTTGTGATGCAGAACAAGCCCAATTTGTCATCTCTGCCTGCTCCGTTGGCCTCACCCCACCCCGAAGGGTCTATCAATTCTCAGCAGACACCCAGGGGAGGGTAGTGCTGTTAGTTGCCTTTTTTGTTGTTGTTGTTTTGGAGTGTCTGCTTGTGTCTTCTGTTCCTTTGAGGTATGGGCGATTACACCTAACTTTGTGTAATTTTGCAGACTGCTTCTTTCCATGGTTTTGAGTTCTCCCTACACTCAGCTAGTCCATTTTTGTGGATTTTTTGTTTCTTCTGTGTAACTGAAACTTTCTTGGAGTGTTTGGAAGGGAGACCGTATCTGTATGCTCTTCTAAATATTGTCTCTGGGAGCATATTGAGAGCAGCAGAGATTCTGGGGTGATCTTTGCTTTCCTGCCATACCAAACTCTTTATGATTTATTTGTTTATTTGTTTATTTATTTCTCCTGCAGAAACACCAGACTCGGTAATCCTGCAAGCACTTCTGCCATTCTGGCATGTTTCTCTTGCCCATCTCTGTCCAGAGCTTAGAGGGTCAGTAATATCATGGCAGAAAGCGAATGGATATGAGGTAAAGTTTGAAAGTTTTTTGAGTTTTGCAGAGAATGCAAATTGTTTCCTTTTTGTATGTAACAATGTAGCACCAGTAACTTGCCATGGCAACCAGCTTATGAAAGGGGGGGGAAAGAAAAAGATCATCGCAAGGTGCTTGGTTGCTATAGCAAGGAAAAAAGCTGAGACCTTATCCTTTTTGTTCACTGGTGGACTGTGCATCATCTAGGTAGCAGAACTTGTCAGAAGAAGTTTGTAGTGCAAGTTAGCAGCCTTGCCAGCCTCTCTGATACTTGGATCAAAACCGAAGTGCAGTCAGGAGGAAAGAAGGAAATAGTCAGAAGAATTGGAACAGGACTGGATTTTCAGAAATGCAAGGCCAAATCCATTTCCGCACTAAGCTGATGCAACTCTACAGATGCCAGTAAGGGATAAACCTGTTTCTACTGAAATGAATTTGGCTCACAGTCTCCAAAAGCCTCTGTTTTGGGTTCTTTTCACTTTTTTTTTTTCTAAAAGGGAAAGGTGTCTTCTGCAGATCTGGGAGCATTTTGGAGTTAGCTTGGGCAGAGGATGGAGTAGGCTCGAAGGCTCCTTCTTCAAACCCATCCTAAGGATGCTTCTGGGAAGGGCAGGCCCGTTGATGTACAACTTATTTATGGAGAGAGCTGAGACCTGACAAAGGGAACTGGTTAAGGACGGAGAGGGGAAACCTTAAGAGCTGTCACTGTGGGAGGAGATGAAAATGGAGTTTTAGCTGAGGGAGGATGATTTAGAAAACTGTTATGTATGTGAGTAGTCGGAGAAGCCAATGGACCTCTCCTGTGCTTAAGGTAGGCACGTTTGTAAATCTTGTGGGGGGATAGGAGCTACCTGAAGTGTTTGTTCTGTGCCTAAGCTGGATGGGTTGCTTTCTGGGGAATACCTTTGAAAAGTGAAAGAAAGAAATTAAAGTTTCTTAATCCCTAGGCTATTGATATGAGCTACAAGTAGCACTGCTCCAATTGGGTGATGGAATGAAGTGTATGCTCCTCCTCTTTATTTAAAAAACATTCCCTCCCAGTTCAAGTTTAGGCTGCTGGTAAAGTAGTAAGGTGGTCAAGCTTGCGAAACGGTAGCCAGCCCTCCGAGTAGCCTAGGGGCTTAGCTGAATTTACAGATAAAACTATTGAGACTAGTGGACAGTCCTTTTCCAACTTCCTGGTGAGGCTGTAGAGAAAATATTGCTAGATCACAAGACCCAGCAATAGCACTACTTGGAAAGCAGCCTTGGAGAGAGGATCTCAATGTAACTGATAAATCTATATGGAGATGCAGGGCTATAGTTTACTCCTGACAATGAATTGCTATACTGTGAATGACTGACTATAAAGACACTGTGGGGAAAATCTGAGTCTTCTGCAGCACACGGAAAGCCCTAGATAAAGGAAAGTCATTGATTTAAAAGAGAAAAATACAAGCAAGAACCATTTAACACTGTAATTTAACCCAGTCTGCTGGAGAGCCTTCCTAAAGTCTATGAGCTAATCCTTCCTGCAGATTGCACCAAAAAAGACATGGCCACAAGCGACATCACAAACGTGAAATTCTGCAAGCAGGGTCATCCCGCAGGGCGGGTTTCTCAGAGGTACCTCAGGCTTGGAAGCAGCGGTCCAATTGAGAGACCACATGGAAAGCTGGGGGGTGGGGGGGGAGGAAAAGTAAGACCAGTCCAGTATTTTAGGACATCATCAGCAAAAGACACTGAACGGAACTAGAGATATTTCCTGTACTAGTCAATTAACAGGATAAAACCCTGAATTAATTAACCCTGAATCATTTGACAAAACCTTCCTCATATCATCTCCATCAAAACGCCACGTTGCTGCAGATGACCCAACCAGAGCATAGAGCCACTTTGTTTCTAATCTCCAAAATACTGGCATTGAAATTGGATTAAATTCTACTAAATACAGTACTCAAAAGCCCCTTTAAACTAAACCAAATGAAAACATCCCAGAACATTCTGGGTAGGCATAGCAAAGTGACTGGTTTGGAGAGTTATCTGATCCCGGACGGGATCCCTCCTGTCATGTATTTCCTTTTTGACAGAAACAAAGAATTCGGGCAGCGCCTTGCCAGGTGCCTGACCCAAGCACCACTAGTGTTAGAAATAGGAAGGATTCCTATTGACTACAGTGGATTCTGCTAACAGTTAGATTTGATCAGTCGGAAACTGAACATGGAAACTCAAGGACATAAGATGTTGTGGAGTCGCCGAGGGGAAGGGCTTTGTAATCTGAGCTTGGAAGTGGAAGGAGTTCTCTGTTCCACGGTTTAAAAATGCAAACTATTACTGCTTCCTTTTTTTCCTGTAAAGTAAATTGGAAGGGGGGGGGGGGAAGAAAAGACGAGACATAATTCAGGGACTGGTCACTTCTCATGGGCCAGTCTCCCCATAGAAACGCTGTGCGAATGAACAAGAATGTTATCTCCATATGCATGATATGCAGTAGTTTGTACTGGGAAGCCCCCAGCTGGCTGGATGGTGGGATGTTGTGGATTTCAGATTCTGCTAGCGGGGTGGAGAGGCGGGAGAGGAAATCTCGATTAGATCTCTGACACTCTATTTAGAAGCTGCACAATTGCCTACCAGTTGCAGTCTGGTCTGAAAAGCACTGCCCTCTACAGAAAAGTGCCCCATTTGTTTCTGTGGGTGTTTGCTTAAATCCCTAGCAAATGTTCTTTTTGAAGGTTTTGTGCTTTTCTTCGTGGGTTGTTGCAGATCACACACCAACTCTAGAACGTGAGTTACTTAAAAATGGCACAGAGCCCTCCATGGAAAAGCCCCCACCTGGCCAAGAGTGACCAGGGTTGATAAACATCCCACGTCTGCTTCCACTCACTCCCAGGCCTCCCTGCTGAGATTGCCAGGGTGGATAAGCAAGGGTCAAACAAGGTAGGAGGTCCAGTAATGTAGAAATCTGCAAGGTAGGAGCCACAGTGACTTTCCTGGCAGCAGTTTGCTGGCGTGTGTACAAGAGCTTTTGTTAGCTGTCAGCTTGAAACGAGTGTCAATCATTCCCTCAGAGCCTGATCTTCGAATCACTGCCCTCGGAGGGAGGTTTTTTGCTTCGTCTTCAGACAGCAGTAACTCAGGCCTTTGGAATTAGAAAGCCCTGTTTTTCATTAAACGAGCCCTCACAGCGTTTTGTCCCGTGCAATTTTAGTTTTCAAACCCTACAGAAAAGTTTGAACGCTTTGCAGCTTGCCTGCTGGCAGTTTCTTTATGGGGCGGTTCAGATCACTTACCATGCTCTGTGTCGCCTGTGTCCTGTTTGCTGGCAGGAACCAGAATGTGAGGTGTGGAAACCAGAGGAGCCGCTAAGGGATGCCTTGCTCTCTGTGTCATTTCAGCACCTGCCGATGTGCAACGCGCTTGTCTTTGTGTAGTTCAAGGCTTCTCTGTACCAGATGACTTTGTACTTAAATCTCGGACCATCCCACGTCCTCTCCTGGAGGCGACACTAAGATTATTCTTATTCTTTTAAAAAGAATCTTCTTGCTCCCGAACGCTGTTTCCCCCCACCCCAACATTGAGGAACAATTGTTAAATACATCTGTTTCTCACAGAAATTTCAAAGCAGTGCTGCGCAGCCTGATTCAAGCGTGCACACAGGGTAGAATTAGATAGAATTGAAGACGTTTGTGTTTATCTAGTTAAACTACTAGTTTCTTTCCCTTTGATTGCTTTTTTTTAATTGCTGGCAGCCCATTGTCTCTACCCCTGCCACACATCCCTCCTTCTCATCATCAAACTCAAGCTGCTCATCCTTTGCTGCTCTTCTGTCGAGCCCGTCCCTAAATCCTGTTTCTCCTCCTTCAATAAGGAGCTGCCCTGAGCCTTAGTTCCCACCTTTGCAAAGCGAGTAAAGCTGATGCAGAATAATACTCATTTAACAAGTAGCTGCCCTGTAGACTGGACAGGAGGTTGGCTTCCAGCCCTCTACCATAACTCCCTGCTTCTTCAGTACTCTCGAGCCTTTGGTGCATCCGCTAGCCCTATATGCAACCTTCATAAAGCTGGCAATTGCTTTCCTGGTCCCTTTCCGTTATGGAGAGTGGCTTTCCACTGTGCCAGCCTCTTCCTGAGTCTCTTGCTGGGGATTTCCAGCTCCTTCTCTGTCCCCTTCAGTGATTACCCAAAATTTACCTGGACTGTACTGCTGTAGTAACAAAGCCCATTGCTGACCTCAGCCTTTGTGTTACTGAGAGCCAAGGCAGATGCTCCTGCAGGGAGCTGCTTGCTGTCAGAGCCCGAGATCCTGAGCTATACTGCTCAGGATATTACTGCTTATACCCTGTAAGCTCGTGGTGGCAGCGGTATGCCCACCCCGAGTGAGGTTTACGTTAGGTATCAGAAGAGCTCCTTAACGGTTAGCATAGTTAATGCACAGGCGCAGCTTATTTATCTAGGCTGTCCTGAGAGACCCTAGCGCTAGAGACCCTCACCCTGGTGGCGGGTCTTCCTATACAAGCCCCTTCAAGTACAGCGTGGGGGTAGAGATCTTGCCTTCAGTCAGAGAGATGGTTTAGTTGATCTCCAGGTCTCTTCTACATCTCTTTCGCATAGATCCTCTTTTTTGCTGGCGGCTCCCCCCCTTCCTTATCAGAGGCCTTTCCAAGCAGGGCAGTCATGGTCCCATACCGACCCCATAAAGGGGAAGGGGTCACCTGCCTCACTCTCTGTCTGCATCAGCCCCTTTCTCCTGCACCTTGTCCGTCAGGGAAGGCAAAGTACGGAAGAGGAGCTGCAGTCGCTCGTGTCTTGCAGGGCTGAGGCAGGGCCATCGCCCGTTTCCTAGAAACTCTTCAGGCGGGTGTTTGTGTGCTCGGCAGTGATGTAAGTGGGTGCGTGCGCGCATCACTGAGGTGCTGGCTGATGGCTTCCAGAGGGCAAATGTTAAACGTTTTTGAAGTCAGACCTCCTGTAAGATACCCCAGCTGAGATGTCCAAATCAACATGTTGCAGATTTCTCCTCTGGTCTCAGGATCTTGGCTTTGCTTTTTGCGTTTCCAGTACTTTGGGCAAATGCTGAGACTGATGCACTGAAATACTCATCAGAAATGTTATGTGGATCCGAGTAATTGATTGAATTTTAGCCACTGACTATGAAAACACGAGTAAGCTAATGTTAATCTACAGATGTGGTATTACCACTGAGTGATTTCCCAGTCCTCATTAGCAAGGTGCTTTGATAACAGCAGAAGGCGTTAGCTATAGTTTCCCTTCAGTAAGCTGTTTAATCATTGGGGCTTACCGGCAGCGGGATTTGGGAGACTTACACGATCGCAAAGTGAATGAAGAGTAATATAATACCCTCTCTAGCTTCTCTGTGATAGCGGACAGAGGAAGGAACGGACTCAGGACTGCTCTGCTCCCCGATTTTAGGAGAGACTGGTGTTTTTCAGGGAGCATGTGCTTAGGCACTGCGTGGTGGGAGTGAGGACTGAGCAGGAGGCTTCTGCCTCCTTCGTCAAGATCTTCCTCCTTTTTAGGAGCGTACTTGTAACAGCTTATAACAGCTCTCCTGCTGGGATCAGCACATGCCAGGGAACTTGTCATAGCATGTTGAGCAGCATGTTCTTGTTGGCTCACTGAGGTCAGATCCAAAGCCTATTGCAGACTGTGAGGAGGATTCATGGGCTCGTTCAGTGGCTTTTGGACTGCTCTGTGGAGGCAAAAATACTACAGCGGATAGGTATGAGAGGGTGAGAGCTGGTGAGGGGACTCTGCCTTGCCACCCCATTTCACTCGGAAGGCAAAAGAGATCCTGCATCCCAAGCCTGTATATCTCAGAGCAGTAAAATCAGAATGAATCCTCCTTGATAAGTATTCAACTGCACTTTCTCCCCTGGTTTCTGATCCACCTACATCCCAGCCTTTCTGAGGATCGCGGGTAATGAGAGGAGAACAGCGCTGCCTCTGTGGTCATCTCCGCGCCCGCACGGAGCTGCCAGTCTAGCCGTGATTTCCAGTTGCTCTTTTTAAAATACTCTCGACCGCTGAGCCGTTCTCATCTGAACATCTCAGACGTGAAGTAATCCCCCTAGCATTTCTAGAGAAAAGCGGACTGCTATTAAACCTGTTCTACAGGTGGGTAGGCTGCGCTCCAGTCTGCCTGAGATCACAAAGCATATTTAAGGGCCAAACTGCCTGGGCTGACACGTTCCCACAGCAGCAATGACTGCCTAAGAGGAATATTAACCTACTTCACTAGAGGCAAAGAGCGCCTAGGCAGAGGGGAGGGCTGGCCACACAGCCTGCTGCGACTCTGTTTATGTGTGTGCACACATGACGACAAAGTAAATAAACCTAGCTGGCATCCTGGCTCGAATCCAGGAGTCCCGAGAACGAAGACTCGGTGTACGGCGAAGCTAAATGCCACGCTCGGCCCTTTGCGCCGAGCCATCAGGCAGGTGGGAATGTAAAGCTCCCTCTGGTTGCTTGTTCCTGAGTCACCTTCTTTAGCGTTTATTATTGCCTAGTGTGTTAGCGTACTGCTGGCTGTAATAAATGACTTCATCCACTGCAGCGGTGAGGACACTATTAAAAATTAACCCTGGCAAATGGTCCTGCATATTTTTCAGCCAGAGCCAGGCAAGGGGGAAGAGGAGAGGAGAGCTGTAGAAACCTGATTTTCAGAAAAGGCAAGTGTTGAGGTTTTATGAATGTGTATGGTTCGAGCTTCAGATGAATCGGTGCAGTTGTTGGCAGTCAATGACCAATGTTCAGAGTGTTTAAGGCACTTTATAAAGTTAACAGAAATATTGCAGGGGAGGTCAAAGAATGGGATAAATCTGGCTTACCATGTGGAGGTGTAATTTATTACCTGTTTGCAGAAATAAATGAATTTATCACATGGATGTTATTACCATGTATAAGGAATGCAGTCCATAACTGAAAACTCTTCAGTTTTGGTTCATGTATTGCACCCTTTTCTCACAGTATCATACTTGTAACCATATCCTATCTCTAGCAGCATGCAGAGAATATTTACAAAAATGAAAGGTTTGCATTAAAAATCTGAGGGAATATATCAGCCGACAGAGAGATCCCTCATTTTCTTGGCTCCCTTGCCTCCAGCACCCACACGCTATCCATCAAATTTTTCTTGAGACAAACCCTTATAGGTTGCATTTTAAGCAAATCTAGGGCTTGGGGAAAGCGCCTGATTGCTAAGCACAGAGACCAGAGAGACCTTTCTGTCAGCATGCTGACGCCGGTGACACAAAAATTGCTCCTTGCTCTGAGAGCAGGAAAACGCACTTCTCCCACGTTAGTAAACCCCGTCGAGCGTGCCCTGTTTCTACAGCCAGCGTTCCTCGGGGCTGTCCCAGGCCCTTGAGCGGCTCCGTCCCTAGATGGGTCGTTGCAGAAAACTGTTTCGCTGGTAACATCAGCCATCAGATGGTAACATAAGCTGTGATGCCAGGTGCAATGACTATGCAAGCAGAGGTATCCTCTAGCTGGCAGGCGGGCGTCCAGGAGCATCTCATAGCTGTTGGTTTCCCAAGCTGTACTGCGACATGACGGCACCTGCCAGAGGGCCGAGCTGAGGTCGACGTGTCTGCGCTGAGTCACCCGCGTGTCTCTGTGAGGCAGAGGTATTTTAAAATGTCAGGCTTAAGCAGATCCTGCGTTCCAGCGGGGAAGGTGATATAAGGCTCCTGCGTGAACACTCTTAAATTCCTGGATGAAAGGAGTTTGGGTTTTCGATATTCAGGTGCTGTTATGTCCAAGTCTGAGACTCTTCCTACTCTAAGATCTTTCCTTGCCTACGGCATTTCAGTGGCCATGGTTAAAATATTTCTCAGATTAATTCCTGCTTTTTATTTCCTTTCTCTTCTTTATCTCTCCACCCAGACACAGAGTTTTTTCATTAGTCCTCGTCCTTGTCTGTCGTGTCCAGCCCTCTGAGCCTCCAAGCACAAAATCCCTTCTGCTCCTCAGCCTGCGCCGGGACGGCCGGCTCGCTGGCGGTGGGGCGCGCTCCGGAAAACGCAGCCCAGCTTCTCCCCTACCTGGGGCTTGGCTTTGCACGGTGCCGCGCAGCAGGAAGGCTTCTAGGCTTGTCAGCAGGGGAGGGTGGTCACAGGGACCTCTGCTTCTCCGCAGCTACGGTGTTTGCCTAACGCGGAAAAAAAAAGGGCATATCAGAAAGTGGCGCTTGCAAGCGCTCTGATACTGCCTGAACATATTTCCTAGATAGCTGCCGTATAAATGATGAGGAAGTGATTCAAGCGTGTGATCACAAACAAGGAGGTGTGCTGTGTGATATGAGATTCCTGCCCTTGCTGGGAAGTTGACTCTGTGACAAATAGGATTTTTCACTGTGTGTTTTATGATCCTGTATTCAGTGCACACAGCAGGCAGGTGGTTTCACTGACCTCTTGCGCAGCCAAGCGTGCTGCTGTAACAAGGGTTTTATTTTAACGCTCACTGACCAGGAGTTATCACAACAGTTGTCTGTGAATGCAACAGCATTTAAAAAATATGTTCTCTTTGGAGGTGCTAAATTTGGAAAGCTCAGTAGTCTTAAGGTGATTTGGCAGCTCTTTTTAGGCTAGACTGTGGGTGTGATCTGAAACTTCCTTTAACTCCAGTAGGCTTTAGATCACACCCACGGTTTTATTCTTTGTCCTTCTCCCCTCCCCACCTCCAATCTTTGTATTTTACTCTCCAGGTTGCCAAGGGCTGGACATGTTGTAAAGCAAGTATCTCAAAGCAGAAAGAAGTGTCCCAGGCCAAACAGCTGTAGATATACTTCCAGCTGCTCAGTTCTCCGGAAAAGGGACACGTGAACTGCACCTTCAAAATCTCTCTTCCATAAGGCAGGAGCCAGCCGGTAAACACTTAATACGTAGTTGAACACTGCACACCTGTGTTTCTATTGACTTTTAAGGTGAATGAATAGGAAATGTATTCCTGACGCTAGTTGAACTGGTGCTTTGATCTGCTACTGCAGGGAGTAATCAACCAATAACTTAGATTTTTAGTGAACTGCCACTGTTTGGTAGACAAGATTATGGCAAGTGGTCTGTTAATGAATATTCCTGTGCGAGCACGTGGGCTGCTTGGCGTAAGGGTGGACCTGCGTGGGGCAGGACAGGGGAGGCTCGTGCGTGCTCAGAGGAGGATCGGTGCTGGTAGCGGTGATGCATTACACGGTGAGGGCAGGGGGTATGCATTTCACCACGCTGCTTGTATTTTAGACGTGGCTGTCCACATTGCACTGCACAAACACTATCAAAGAGGAACTAATTCCATTATACGTTATATTCTTGTTTTGGTATAATGCTATTGAAATGAACGAACTTTCGCGTGTCTCAGAGTAGGGCAACGAGCTGAAATGAATCAAGTCTAGCATCCCATCCTGTGAGCAAGGGTCAGGTACAAATCCAGCACTGGTTTGCCCCCTTTGTGTTTTTCAAAAGTTCAGATTCAGATTGGAATAGAGGTGAGCAAAGGTACATTTCCACTGCTAACAACAGAGGGCAAGTCTGGAAATGCAAGGGCTTTGCTCAGGCTGTAGACAGTGAATGGAGATGTGTCGCAGGAGGGTCATGACTCCTAAAGATAACAGTTGTTTGTGGTCCTGAGATGATTCCCATTGTGTATTTCTTTCTTTTACTGAAGAGATTTGCTCAGCCAAATACACACTGTTCAGTTCAGGCACTAGAATTCCCACTGAAACCCCTGTAAAGGTTTACCCCAGGGTCTCTTTTAAGGTGTTTTTTTTTAAGAGAAGAGGATGCTGGGACAGAGCGTGAGGCCAGAAGTGTAGTCATGCAGGGGTCCACAGCCAGAGAGAGCTGCTCTGCAGGAGTGGATCAAGTCCTTGGTAGCAGACAGCATGCCATGTTCAGTGCCACGCACTGTCACCACCAGCGGGCTGCTGACAGATCCGGCCTTGAAAACAAACTGTCAAGGAAGGAGCTTGAGGTATGTGTGAGATTTGGGTGGACTGAGATACGTTTTATGGTTTTCAATACTCTGAAGTACTACCTGAGCAGTTTTCTTGATCTTAGCCAGCATGCTGAGTTATGTACCAGAGCTGCTCTCACTGAAACCTCTAGACAGCGCATAAAGGGTATGTATCATGCTGTACAGCAGCATACCAATAATCCATCTTCCCTCTTTACTAATCTAACTTAGGTACTGGAATAACAAAGTACGTAGTCCTTTCTCTGAGCGTGCTTTATGCAAAATCAGAGCCTGGGCTATAAGGAGGATATTTGGAAATTGGGCTTCTCCTGTCATATTTAGGACAGAGAAATATCCTCCTTTCCTTGTGGGAGTCCTTCTAGTGACCAGCATTGACAGGGAAGTTACACAAGACAGTGACCCAAATACAGATGAATCCTGAGGCTTTCCAAAGAAGCTTTCCACAGGAAGGGGAACCTAAGCCTGGAAATCCCAGCATAGGATGGTGATGTGTTGCATCAGTTTTCATTCCTGTGCAGCTTTTACTGGACTAATATCCAGACTGTGCGCAAGAGGAATGGAAACCAGAAGCAGATGTGAAGAGTGCAGAGTTCCTTCGGTAGGTCAGATAGAAAGCCCAAGCGTTTGGGGTTTGGTTCAACTCATGCACTGATCCTGAGCCAGAAGCAAGCACAAATCCTCTAGCAGACCACGGGCATGAAACACCCCTGGGAGCAGCAGGAAAGGACAAAGCATTTAAGGCAAGGGAAGAACTGAGGCAGAGGCCTGCTGGGAGTCCTGTACAGCGCTGCGTGTGGTAGGGCAGAGAGATACATCCCCTGCGGTATAGATGCTGGGCCAAGGATTACATAGGTGTGCATGGGGATGCAGCATCTGCTTGAGCCCAAACACAGCCTGCGGGACTGCCTGACCCCTCATCTGCCAGCTGACTTCCTCCCTACCCTGCTGCAGGCTGCACCCCAGCCACTTCATTTCCTCTGCTGTAGGGCAGGTATTTGTGAAGGACTTTGTCAGGGCTGTTGTCCGTAATGTGGCTTGCAGCAGTCTTGCGGTAATGGCTGAAAACCTTTGCGTACCCAAGTTGCGTGCGTGTGGTATAGTTCAGAATAAGCTTGGAACCGTACAAGTTGCATGCAGACTAGTGGTTCAGTGCTTTGCACTGATTTTTTTTTTTTGTTGTTGGCCTGGTTTCTCCATTATTTCACACCATATGTTGTCAGTTACGCTGATGGAACAAGAGTAGAAAATTAACACCTTTCTGATTTGGTAGCATTTTGCTGTGGCTTTCCATTGGCACAAAAAGCAAGTATAAGTAGCAACGCTGTGCAGAATGGTTTCCCTGCCTGAAGACAGCTCTGCTAATGCCGGCCTGGCAAAACAGAACTATAAACGCAGTGAGGTCCCGAGGTTTCTTTCCACTGCAGAGACCAAGTGATGCTCCTGAAAAACTATGGAAAAACAGTTACTGACCTTAACTCCCTTCCAGCATCGATTCATTTTTCTCTTGGTTTAATGTTGAAAACAAAGTTGTAACTCAGTCACGGACTGTGGAATTCATCCCAGAAGAAACGCAAGGACCACCAACAACGTGGACCAGGTGTGAACTATAAATAGCAGCAGCAAGAGGCCTTCTGTGTCCCAGGGGCAGTAATCCCACAGCCAGCACTGCTCCTTTTATTTATTTATTTCTAAGTTTGCCATTTCTCAGGCTTTCTCAGCAAGACTGTCTCTTCCTCAGGATTTGTACAGCACTGAGCACAGTGAAGCCCCTAACCTTGAATAAGCCCCTATACCACTATTACAGTTGTAGTAACACTGGGTTTTATAATGACCAGTTCTCTTGTAAAAATGACCATCTGGCGGCTGCAGGGCAGTTTTAGATCTATCCCACAAAGTGGGACCGGGTGCCCTACCCTAGGGGGACAGATGTGTGCCAATAGCATCCTTGGGCTACTCAAACACAGGAGATGGTTTGACGCAAAAGAAACTGAGAAAGGTGGGTGGCCTTGAAGAGCGACAGAAAAAAACCCCAATATTTTATATGGAGTCATTTCAAGCTACCGTTATTTCATCTTGAGTCAGGAATGATATAAACAAGGGAGTACAAGCATGCTTTTCTGGCTCTCATTTTCGGGCTTTCTTATTTTTTCACATTAAGAAAGCTTTTCTTTCCCTTTTCCTGTAAAAATGGGAAGGGAGAGAAATCTTACAAGTATTTATTTATTTATAACTCTTGGTTAAAATTAAGGCATAATTAGGAGAAAAGCCCTTCTGAAATTATGAAACACTCACTTAATGATTCGCATGTTAACACAGTACCCTATCTCACCTTTCTTGCCTCATGTCTTTCATCCTAGTAAATCACCTCAACCACCGCTGTAATGCAGCCACTTCTGGATAAAATCACTCTGGTGTGAGCAAACATCTACCCTTCTAAAGCAAGGATATGCAGGAAAGGAAAAAAAAAAAACCCTCCATTTTGGTATTTGCACTGGATATTGCTTGAAAGTAAGTGGGATTCCCTTGGAGTTTTTCCCCTCCTGGCAGAGCTGAGTCTGCCCAGGGTTTAAGCTAATGAAATACACCAACACTGTGTGTTGGCAGCACCACGTTTTAAGCCTATCATAAGCTTAGCTTTTCTGTTGGAAACCTTCCTCCGTGAGAAGGTGCCGCTTGCTGTTTTTATTGCATTCTCATACCCCCAAAAACATATCTAGAAGCTCTACGAGGCCAAGGAGGGTTTTTTTTTCTTTGACAGAGCTCATAGCAGTGAGAGGAGAGAGGCTGTGCTATCACTCAGGACCTAGCTAAGCCTCTGGCATGTTCGGTCACCCTCTGACTCCACACAGTGTTTCTGGGTTACTTCAGTGAGGTCAGTATTTTCATTTACTTGTTTTCACAAGCAAGGGCAAAGAAAAATTACGATCGCCAATGCTTTAGTGGGAGTTAAAATACTTGGAAAACGTTTATTGAAAGTTTTCCTAGGTCTCGTTCGGCTTGAAAAGATGCAACTTTGTACAATATGCTGTGTGTTGCCTGATGAAGCTTTCCTTTCAGATTGCGTTTTATGAATTCACATAAACCCGTGAAAAGGAGCCAAATCAAATGTCGGGATACAGTGTGTCAGAGAGAACTCTAACTCGATCCTCTCATTGTCCTTTCTTTTCATGCCCGATGCGGTTACAGAAAATAAGCAGAATTCATGAGCTTCTGTCTTCCTTTGGATCCGTTCTTACTTCCCTCCCTGCCTCATTCGTCTCGTCTGCTTGGTCTGACAATCGTGATAATGTCCTGAACACCTGCTGCTGTGGAAACTCTTCTGATGTCATTTTCTGAACACAGTGACTTCAGACACATGGAATGATGAGGTTGGTGCCATAGTTAAGCTCTTTCTGGGAACCTGAGCTGATTTTTTGACAGTGGTAGTCGCTAATGCAGACCTGAGGTAGGAATTACCAAAGGTGGTGAGTATTTTGCTTATTATGCAACACAAGAACAAGGGAGAATTGTCCAGTGGAGCAGCAGACTGGATGGTAGAGTCAGAACCATCTTTTAAATTCTTCACTTAATTACATATTTGTTTTGATACTTCATCCTGTGCCTTGTTGTATAAAATGGCGGTGAATGTCCTTTCTCTGCGTTATCTATTTGTAATAATAAGCTTTTGTGGGCATGCCATATTTCATCTGTTAGTGTTGGCTGTATTGACATCTTTTTGAGTACCGATAAAGTAAGAATAACTGAAAATCAAGTAAGAAATAGGCAAGCTCGAAGATCGTCTATGTGTGGACTAATACTTAAGAGATTGTGTCACGGAAGAGGTTGTGCAGAGAGGGGGAGTATTAGGCTGAAAGATGATTTCTAGTGGAGTTTCTCATGGACTATACTTGTTTTAATTTATTTTAGTGACTTTGAGGAAAAAAAGCAGAAGTATGCTAATGACATTTGCTAGTGCTTAAGTGGCATCATCAGAGGAAGACTGAGATATCATGTAGGAAGAGGGAAAAGGTCAAGGGGATGGAGTAATAGGAACAGGATAAAATGTAGTGGTACAAAATGTGGAATCCCATACTTCCAAAACCTTTGTTATAGTGGGGACTTTAGCTCCACTTAGCAACTGGAGAGAACAAAGAAAGAAAAGAACCTCATCTTATTAGTTGATGATTATGAGTGACCGGTTTGATGAGACCTTGATAACATGATCGCAGGATATACCAGATAGGGTATTTTGAGGACAGAAAGGAGAGTATTTATACCACTGCATAAGGCATCTGGAATTAATGATATTGTTTGGGTCACCCATCTTCAAGAAAGAAAAACTGGAAAAGAAGAACTAGGATGATGAGAAGAATTGCGAACCTCTTTTTTATGACAGGAGGTTCTGAGCTTGGCTTGTATGACTTGGCAAAATAAATGTTGGGAAGAGATGAGAGCGGGCTCTATAAATACATCAAGAAAGCAAATGACAGAGAGGAAGAGTTATTTTAAGCTGAAAAATAGTTTAGCAGAAGAACAAATTGGTATACACTGGCAATAAATAATTTTAGACTATAAATTGGGAGGTTTGTAATCTTCAGAGGCAGGCTTTGGACCAATCTTTCAAAAGAAAGAGGAAGAGACTGATAGGTATCTAAAAGACTGTCATGTGGTTACCTACAGTATAAGGAAACTGGTTCCCCTGATCAAAAAACCCTTCTGGTTCTGTGTTTCTAAGCTGTAGTGTAATGGAATTCCTTCATGTTAATAATACAAGTGTCAACAGAAATTAGCTGTTAATCAATAATATTCATTAGTGACTGGGTGTTGGTCACTTGGATATGTGGTGATTGAATATAACCACGAGGACAGCCGTATCTGCTCTGTGGAAGACAGGACCCCGGAGGAAAAGCATGTTCATCTCGGCTTGGTTTTCAGAGAAGGTAATTACACCTAATTCCTGTTCGTTTGGGTAGTGCCAATATAATTAATCCAGACTAATCTGTTTTAGTTTAGGAAGTCCCTGTGACGGTGAGATCAGAATTGGGACCAACATCGCTGCATAGGTCCACAGTATGCTAATTGTTGATGCTGATATTTAAAAATGTTAAACGTTTCTGGACAAAACTGAAGCATGTCTTTTCTCTCCTATAAAGCTTCATGTATGTATAACATGATTCCTGGAGAGAGATCACATCAGTTCTATAGTTATTAATTTACAGGTTTCTCCCTGACCTTAGCTCAGGTCTGGGAACGGTGCCAGAACAATTACCGTAACTCTGAACAGTTCAGACATAAAGCTCCTGTATTTACTCTGAAATTGTGCCAGATTTTACCTTGCTCAGTGATGGAAAGATGCATTTCTTCTTTGATTGGTTTCAAGTAGTTTAGACTGGGTTGGCCGTAATAAGATTATTTCCAGCAAAAGGAGGAAAAGAAATACAGTACCATGCAGATGCGTGTATACACTATACACTTATTCTCACTCCGCAGATAACCTTTAGGAGATGACTGTGGTGTCCCAAATAAAGATGGGGGGGGGGACCACTGAGTCAAGGTGACTTATACTATTTACCCCAAAGCAAAGTGGCAGAGTTGGGAATAAAATTCAAGGGGGAGATGCCTAATTGAGCGTAGTTTCCACTGAATCATGCTACCTTCCTGGAGCGCGTCAGGGCCCATCGCCTTCCTTGCTGGGAAGGTGGGCAGCTGGCCTGCGATGCCTCCACACAGGTGGAGCTGAGCGCTCATCACCTCGGCAGATCAGGGCCCCCACCCCGCTGATCTTTTCTGACGTTAATCGACCCTCAGGCCCTGCAAAGAGGGGAGGCGACGCGTTGCCTGATCCCCGGGCTAAGATGCTATTTCCCAGGCCCTAGAGCGAGTTCAATGCTGTCGTAAAGGAAAGGCTGATACCAGCCACCAGCAGCTATTGCGCTCCGACCGGTACGCGTCGGGTGCGAGGGCGTACGTGTTGCGTGCAAGCCGGCTGGCCTTTTCCCTTCAAAACCCCTGCCGTCCCCCTGCCCCTGGAGGGCTGTCCCCAAGAAAACACTCGATACCATCCAGAAGTTAAACCCCCCTGAATAATCAGAAGTTTTTACTGCCAACCCGAGCATCCGTTTCACCAAAGAGATGGCCCAATGACAACGTTCGAGCAGGACGGGGCACCCAAGACGGGCACCGCCAGGCGCCCGATCTAAAAATCCCGCATCTAACGGCAACGGTAAGAGCCAAATCCTGAATAAATGTATTGCGACGGTCGGTTCTGAGAGACCAGGTAAACCCGCGCGCCTTGAACAGGCCAGTTTTTAAGGTTACCGCCTCTCCGCGCGTCAGTCCCTTGCTTTCCGAAGTAAATCATGTTAACGCGAAGTAAACACGTTTGGCTCCAAAAGGTGGAGGGCGGAGGGGGGTATGAGCCACCGGCCGGGGTGAGGTGGCTCGGCAGCTGCTTGGCAGCCGACCCCTCACGCTAGCCTGTCAGCCAGGAGGCTTCCCGAGGAGTAAAGGGGACACAGATCGCCTTCCCCCCCCCCCCCCACGCCCCACCTCCCTTTTTTT